TAGTGGCCGATCGTCCAATTGTCGCAATGCGTCCGAATCTTCTGTCTTTCAGAGGCAAATCGAGGGCAATGGCATATCAGATGGTCGATGTCTTCTTTGGTGCAGCAGACGTCGCATTCCGCATTGTCGGTCAATCAGATGAGGGTTCTATATGCTTTTGTGAAGGCAACCCCCAACCAAAGGCGACAAAGAAGTGAAGCTTCACGTCGACGAAGTCCGGATAGAGGTCGACGTTCCAGTCGAGGGTTTATTTGGTATAGTCTCGTATGTCTTATGCTTGGAGTGTTCCACTCCTGCAGACTCAGACTACGTGCCAGGTGACGAAGTTGCTTTGCAGCGTCAGTCCTTGACAAAGGAATCGGAAGGATGAGTTCTTCTTGGTGCGATGTGCGAGCCGCGTTGTCTGCGGAATCATTGCCACTGATCCCACAATGGCCAGGAAGCCACTGAAACTTGACCTCGTGGCCTGTTTCTGTGACGTGGTGAACGAGCTTGACAACTTCGTAAGTTAATTATTCATGGCAACCTCGTCGAAGGACTGACTGCATGCTCTGTAGGGCTGGTTTTGAGTCGGAAAACACAGCCCATTTACTCGGTCTTTGGGATTTGATGTACTCTATGGCGCCACGCAAAGCCGCAAGTTCTGCCGCTGTGGACGTAGTGACATGTGACAGTTTGATTCGCAGAGTGATTCCTCTAGCTGGAATCACCACCGCACCACCAGAACCAGACGCTGTGGTTGAACCATCGGTGTATATGTGCACGTGGTTGTTTACATTTTGTGCAGGTGGCTCAAGCTCAATTGTTTTAGGGCTGATGAAGGCAAATTTGATTTTTTCTGTATTCCTGGAATTGAAACACGTACTTGTGGAAGTGTCAGGCACCACGGAGGATACACCAGTTTCTCAGCAGGCGTAAAATCTGACGTAAACGACGCACGATGAGCACAGACAATTGCACTAAATTTCGTGCGGGGCCTCTCAGTAGCGAGGGTTGCCAAGTGGTGGGAAGGATTCCTAGCATGTTGCCTGAGGTACGTACGCATCGTTTCAATTGTGATGTGCGTCATGATCGAGTAGTCTTGTGCAATGGCAATTGTTTCAGCTGTCGATGCGCAGCGGGGTAAACCAAGGCATATCCTAAGCGCTTGGGCTTGAATATTTTGGATTGTGCGCAGGTTCGTTTTGCACGTGTTAGATATAACAGCTAGGCTATACCGCAGGAATCCAGTAAATAATACCTTGTACAGCTGTAACATAGACTCGACAGACATTCCCCAACTTTTCCCAGCAAGAAACCTGAATAAGTGACAAATGGCAGTCAGCCGCTTTTTCACGTAGTTTACGTGGGGTGTCCAAGACAGGTTTCGGTCGATTACGACTCCCAAGAACCTGTGACTCTGGCTGCATGACACCAACTGCCTGTTAATTGATAAGCCGTAAGCGGACATTGGTTTTCTGGTGAAGGCCACGACTGCACACTTCTCACTTGCGATTTCAAGCCCTTGTTTGGGTAAGTGGTACGATGTCACTGATGCTGCCTTCAGAAGTCGAGCGCGAAGTTGAAGTCGAGTCACACCTGATGTCCACACACAGATGTCATCAGCATAAATGGAAAGTCGTACACTGCTTGGTTGCTTTCCAACTAGTTCAATGAGAGTTAGGTTGCACAGCGTCGGCTTAGCACTCCGCCTTGCGGGACTCTTCGGCTGCAGTAATACTCAGGTGTCGGGCCATTCTCTGTCTGCACGTGAAATGATCTATTCTATAGGTAGCTCTGAACCCACGTATATATCCTGCCACCGAGTCCCACTCCTTCTAGTGCGCTGAGAATGGCTTCGTGGGTGACATTGTCGTAGGCCCCTTTAACATCAAGAAACAGAGCAGAAAACCGTTTGCAGACCTTCTGGTGTTCTACATATGTCACCAAGTCAACTACATTGTCAATTGACGAGCGGCCTCATCTGAACCCGGACATGGCATCTGGATATATTTCGTAGAACTCTAAGTACTATTCCAGACGCGTTAAAATCATCCTTCCAAGCACTTTTCCACAAAAACACGTTAGATGTGTGTCCCTCTCTAATATCATACGTCTGTCAGATTTGTTCCTTCATGCTCCTTCTTTCTAGCTGGAAGCAATGCCGCCGCCACCTCACAGCGCTAGTTATGCAGCGGCATCACCATGACGCGTCCTCATTGGTTGCCCACATAGCGCCTTGAATGGCGACACGCTATCGGAAAAAAAATGTATCACTTACAGTGACAGAGTGACCGTCAACATTGTGACAATGAGGAATGCAAGACTCTGCCGCACAGATCTGTACAGAAATGAACAAAAAATTACTTCATATTATTCCAGTTGTGAGGCCCTGCATGAAGGGCTCTCTTCCCCACGACCGCAAAGCACAGGCGAAAGCTAGTTGATAGAAAAGACCAGGAAAGGGCTTGAGGAAAGAATGGTGAACAGTTGGATTGGGCGCATCTAGCTGGAATTGATAACAGAGAGGAGGCGCTGTCGGCGCTCTCACTTTGACCTCAGAACATAGCCAAGATCTGATCATATGTCTCCAGTGCCTCACGTGTTTGCAACAGAATATTGTCATGGTACTAAATAGAGAACAAATAGCAGTACGGCAAGCAGCAGAACAGCCCTGATCGAGCAGAGAGTCTTCGTCTTCCTCAACCACAAGCAATTGCTTTGCCACGCACAAGTAAGGGTGAAATAGGTAGGCCGCATAACAGCCAGATACCCACTAAATGCCCGTGTCATAACTCCAACTCTGTGAAAGCATCGACTCTATGGTTCCGAATGTGTGAAGCCAAAGCAAGTCATCAGCGTGAATAATACAGCTTCATCCTGACCACATGAACAATGTCTGCCTGTGCTGCATGACAGGAAGATCGTGCGCCGGGCGCTGCAACAACTTGGTAGGTGACATCATTGAGGCATCGAAGAACTTGATAAGGGCTGAAATAATGGCGCAGGAGTTTCTCTGAATGGCCGCATTGGCGGACAGGACACCAGATCCATAATTTTCTCCAGGATGGTAGGCATCTTCTTCGTGATGAAGGTTGTAAATGTGAGCGTCGTAAGGTTGCTGAAAGCGAATGCGCGAGTGAGCTAGTTGAAGAGCTCCTTCAGCACACTGCGCATACTGGTCAGCATTTTCGGTGCTGGCTGCGAAGGCAATGGGTAAAAGCATGGCTTCTACATCGTAGTAACCTGATGGCCATGAACCAGGTGGAAAGGCATAAATCCAGTAGTTTCCTGCGTGGCGGTGTTAAAAGCGAAAGTTAAGAAAGGAAGGACACTGTCCCAGTTCCTATGGTCCACGTTGCCATACATGGAAAGTACATCCGTGATGATTTTATTGAGCTGTACTTTTAAACCGTTCGTTTGCGCATGATAGGCTGTTGTACGACAATGTATGACGCCGCAAAGTGTCGTCACTTCTTCGAGCTGTTTGGGCAGTGAAGGCCGTGCCTCTGTGTGTAAGAACCACGGCCAGTGCACCATGGCGTCAGCGACATCACTTGCAGTACCAGTTGAAGTGCTCGTGTTTCATAGTAATGGTTTCAATAATCTGTTACAACTATTATCCAACTGTTATCCACTCAATATTTTTGGAAATGGACCTTGGAGGTTCATACCAACTTGTTGAAATGGTGCTCAGGATGGCTCCACAAGATGTTTAAAACCTGCATGTTTCGTGCGCAGTCTTGCAACACTGACAGTCACGGCGGATTTTGACGTCGTGCTTGGCAGTATGGGACAGTTTAGGCCAGTAGTACTTGTGCGAAATATGAGCTAAGAGTACATGTCAGGTCTAAATGCCCAGAAGACAGTTTGTCATGACATGCATTGAGGATCGCTGCTCACATCACAGATGGTACTACAAGTAGAGTGGTTCAAGTCCTAGGATCAAAGCTCCAATTGTACAGGATTTCGTGGAAGAAAAACGATAAAATCCTGCGCCTGAAGTTTGTGGTGGCAGATCAAGTTGGTCCTCAAGATAGTCGATGGGGAAGATTTAGGTCATCACATGTTGTTTCTGAGCCAAGTCGGATGCTGCAACAGCCATGAGGAAACTATCGATGTCAGTTTTGGTCTGAAGAAGTCGACTCAACTTGGGCACATGACAAGCAGTCGGCATCAGTGTACATGCGCCATCCATTAAAAAACCACCGTAACGTCAAATATTTGGAGCCGGAGGCTCCATCGGGCGAGGTGGCCCGAGGGGTCTTTGAGGCCTCAAGCCAGCACAAAGAATTGTGGTTAGTGACTACTCCGAACGGTTGCCCATATAAATACGGTCGGAGCTTCACTATGGCCCACAAAACAATATGCAGTGACATGTACCCTCTTCCGTCCTCCAAGTGCTCTGGTGAGCAGCTCAACCTTTGGCTCAGACGTGTTCTCTGGCACAAACCTAGAGAATGTTTTGCATTGTTGCAATCTGAGCCGGAGCACAGTGACGCCCAGCCAAATGTACTACAAGAGGGGAACAAAGACACAGCACCGATGAAACAGTTCAAAATGTCCTCACTTCACCTCTCTGTCTCGCATTTGTGGAGTACGCTGATCACTATCATGAGTGAACTGTTCCATCTCACTAGCTCTGAGTTATATCGATATGATACGTGCTAACTAAAGAACAAAACTGTGAGAAACTAAGCAGCTTGTTCACTGGATGTATGAAAAGCCAATTGTAAGCTAAACACAGGGTAACCTAAAAATTGCATGTAATGACCACACCACCAGTGCCCAATAGTGCATGACAGCCAAATGATGCAGTATTGGTGAAGTAAAAGATGTCAAGAAGTAGACTACACATAGCTTAAAATGCAGTTTCCTGGCAACATGCTTTGTTGAAGGGATTTAACTTCCCCAAAAGAAAACACTACATTGTCTTCAAAAGTCAGCTGTTCGACTGTGTTTTATGGAATTTGAAACATGTCAGTTAAATAAGACATAAAAGTACTGTGTGTTGAACAAACCAAGTCACAGCTGACACAGAAGTGGTCTTGTTTGGCGAAATTGTGCTGAAATGCCTGGCCTAGGTATTCGAAAGTTCGCTTTTCTAGTTGCTCATCCTGCAACAAGCTGAAATGAACCAAAAGTATGTGTGCATAAGCTACAGCTAAGACTGCAACGCTCACTTTTTCTCCAAGTTACAAAAGAACAAAGAGGACGTGTATGAAGGAGAGCTTTACCTTAGTAGAACAGCGAGTTCATTTTCTGACAGAGCCATGAGTTAATAAAAATCTGGAAACACACCAAATATACAAGCTGCAGCTTTCTTTAAAGTCATCAGCTGGCGAGTAAGCTTTAAGGATACGCAACAAAAATCACCAAGCAATGCTCAACTTGGTCACGGAAAAACGTCACAACATCCCCGAATGGGGAGCATACGTACATGAACTTCATGATCGCAAAGAGTTGCTAAACAGAAGATCGCCATCAAAAGACGGGTGTTCTAACGCACGACAATGGGAATAAAAAGCGATTACACAGCAACCAAGAGTTCTTACTACGCTCGCGGGAAATATGTGATATTGCCTTCAAAATTCGTACATTTCAACATATACGAGTATTATTTCATCGTTACGAAAACCGGTCGTTTTTCTCCAAATCTCCCATACACCACACTTCGTCATTCACGCATTTGTGAAAACTTACTGTGATTCATGCGCCGCGACGCCGTAACGACCATGCCGATCAGGCAAACCGGCTAATAAAAGGTGGTGGTCTCATCTTAGGAAACCCTATGGTCTCGTGATATCTCATGACTCGAGCCTGTCTTGTGGTTTGCCATTACTCCCGCTTGAAAGCGCTACAAACGACCGCCGAAGCGCCCGGGCCATGCGTTCCCGTGTTCCCTTTCATAAAAACTGACACTGTACATGCATTTAATATATCAGCTGTAAGGTAGTGTATTGCTGTGTTCCGTATAGCAAGTCCCGCTCGGGGAAAACACCCGGTGTTTCATTTCAGCAAATCTCAAGCATTGTTGAGCTGTGCACTAAATGGCAAAAAAATATTGCTAGAGACAACCTCATCATCAGCGACAAGTCTGCATCGACTGTCGTATTCAGCAGACACTTGCGCGATGAAGATCTTTTAAGGGCTATACTTCCTTTTTGATTCTGAGTGCAAAGAAACCACGCAAAGATCCTGCTTCAAGAGGGACGTGGGTTTTACAAAAAATAGTGAAAAATGGCAAAAAACACAGTTTTGAGAAAGACACATGTGCCTGTGAGCCGCATCAGAAAACATCTTCCTGACTCCGCGCCTACTTTCTTCAAGGACTATCCTACCTTGTTTTTCACTTGTCTTTCAACACGTGGTGAGTCAAGAAGCAGACCCGAACTCAATTGCTGGTGTTGCGCGCGCAGCACGGAGCTATGATAACGGAGCGGTGCAGGATGAATGGATGGATGGATGGATATGGCTGTACCCTTTAGATCGGGCAGTGGCTAGCGCCACCAAGCCGTAATACTTAATGAACCAAAAACTATATTTATTTTTTTTCTTTAAAAAGTGAGTTTGAGGATTCGTACTTTGCAGTGAAGGGCTTAATTTTCACTCGTGCCTTCACTTTAGCCACCAATCAGATAACCTCCTTCTAGTTAAGTCTACCCGCTTAAAGTCTTTTTTGCCCTCCGGGTCCCTAAACCCAAGTGCTTTGAAAAACTCTGCGCTATCATCCTGAACTATAGGGTGAAGCCCTTTACAAAACATTATCAAGTGTTCGGCAGTTTCTTCTTCCTCTCCACACGCACTGCATACTGTGTCTACCCCTTCGTATTTGGCCCGATATGTCTTGGTTCGCAGTACTCCCGTCCTGGCCTCAAAGAGTAGAGAATTACCCCGAGTATTATCATAGATCTTTTGCTTGGCAATTTCCTGCTTAAAAGTTCGATAGATCTCTAGTGCGGACTTCTTAATCATGCCCATTCTCCACATGTCAGTCTCCGTTTCCTTTACTTTCTTCTTAACCGATGGTTCTTTTTGGTTTGGCCACTTGCTGTTTTCTAAGTATTTACCAATCAATTTTCTGGTTCGCTTCCTCCATTTTGTATCGACATTCTTCATGTACAAGTAGCTGAAAACCTTCCTAGCCCAATGCTCCTCCCCCATTTCTCTCAATCGCTTTTGAAGTTTTATCTTGCTGCTAGCTTCCCTGCTCTCGAATGATGTCCATCCCATATCACCTTGTACTCCCTGATTTGGTGTATTCTCGTGAGCTCCTAAAGCAAGCCTACCTATTACACGTTGCTTAATTTCTAATCTTGCTTGAACTTCTGATCTCATGCACGAGACCGCATTGCTGAACGTCAGCCCAGGAACCATGACCCGTTTCCATATTCCTCTCACAACATGATACCTATTGTAATTCCACAGTGCCCTGTTTTTCATCACTGCTGCATTCCTGTTACCTTTAGTCGTCACTTATATTTCGTGTTCCCTCAGATACTCGGTTCCGTTGCTTATCCATACGCCCAGATATTTTTATTTATCTGTTATATCTCTAGCGTGACCTCCTGTATTCTAAGCTCACTACCTTCGTTGTCATTGAAAATCATGGCTGCTGATTTTTCCTTACTGAATCTAAAATCTAACCTATCTCCCTCATTACCGCAGATGTCCATCAATTTCTGCAAATCTTCCTTGTTGTTGGTCATTAGCACTATATCATCTGCGTACATTAAGGCTGGTAGTGCCTGATCAATGAGTTTTCCTTGTTTGACTGAAGAGAGGTCGAAGCCCAGTCCACTTCCCTCTAATTTGGCCTCTGATCCTTGTAGGTATGAATAATAAGGGTGACAGGGGACACCCCTGCCTAAGCTCCCGTTTTACCTCTGCAGACTATGATACCTGTTTTTCCCACTTTATAACTACCTTGTTACCTTTATAGATATCCTTTCAAAGTTCTGTGACTACATGTTCCACGCCTAGTGTGTCCAGTATTCCCCACAATTTCTCTTGAACCGCGCTATCGTACGCTCTCTTGATATCCAAAGGAGGCTCAGGGTCGCAGCGCCCCACTCAAAGCAGCGGGGAGAGGCATGTACTACACCCTATGCGAAAGCTGTCACTGTAAGAAGCTAGAGTCTAGAAACCAAACTATGGCGTTCGTGCACGGCCGAGCACGAACACCTTAGTTTGGTTTCTAAATTTGGGTGCACCTTGAAGAACGCCAGATGGTCGAAATCTCCGGAACCCTCCACTACGGCGTCTCTCATAATGATATGGTGGTTTTGGAACGTTAAACCCCACATATCAATCAATTATGTAGACACAGTTCACAATACATAGGTCTGCATGCAAAAAAAAACAAGTTTTATGAATAAAACCTGGCAGCGGTGGGATTCTAACCCACGCACCCGAAGAGACTGGTGCCTTAAACCAACGCCTTAGACCGCTCGGCCATGCTACCATGTGCGCCTTCCCTCATACCGTCGTCAGAGAATATGGAGCTCGCTTAAATTATATTTTGCGGTCCTATTCGGACTTCGACTCGCCTACACCTTCATGAACCTGGCTCACTGGACTCAGACTCGCTAAAATATTGTATGAGCGGAATAACTGGGACTAATACTCACCGAAATATTACTCAACCGGACTCACACAGGCCCGCGTCTCGACCATATTCTGAGTGGGTCTACTCAATGAGTACCGTGACTTGATTACGCATAGTTCCGCCAGCAGAGCGTAAAACAGACAAAAAAGGCACAGTTTCACCGCAAGGGCGAAGGAATGAATGTGACAGCAACAACTTGGAATGTAACACTGAAAACGGCAAACAGATCGAAACGTGCAGCGCGCTGCTCACGCACAAAGACGCACGAAAACAACTCACACAGTAAGAGAGCGAACTAACAACGTTTATCGCATTACATGTAACACCCTGTTTAAACAAAAACGACGCACGAAACATAATCACAGGTACAGATGAGTGCAAACTAACAAGTGCATCAGTTGTGATACCTTCCTGTGTATGAAAAGCGAGCTCTTTTCGCAAAACTCATGACCAAACCTCATAACCGCGGAAATGCTCTCGACAGTGACGCGACGTAGATTGCCTTCGTGCGAACAGTCACTAGCGCAGGCAAACCATAGAGTAACATAGTAAACGTTTACTATGTTACTCTATGGGCAAACCTCATTAACTCGACGGCTATGGTGACTAGCCACCACGCTAGCCACCATACACCGTGCCACCCACGGAGGAAGGAAAAAAAAAAGCCTTCCTCCGTGGTGCCACCCAACGTTACTAGATAGGTGCCACCATACGACGGCTTCGGCGAGCGAACTGCACCGTTGCTTGCATGAGGCCGTCTACTCGTACTTTTATAAAACCGCGTAGTGAGCGGTATCCAATTTAAAATTAGAATATATTGTTGTGTAATGGAACGGAAAGTGTTTATTAATGCCTTGCAGCACTTTTTTTATGTGCACGTGCATAAACATTACGTTATTTCTTCGTTGTGCACGCGTGACTCGGGCGGAGAGGAGAGTGAGAGGAGGTGGTGACTTCGCGGCACATGAAGAAAACCAGCAGTACGTCAGTCATGTACATCCTGTTCTGGTGCTTTGAGCACAGCGCTTCCGGACGATGGGCGATGGTTTCCAATTCTGGTGAACCGAGCGATCGCGCGAAAACTGCCTCGCGACACGTCGCGCGAATGCCCCGTTTCGTCGCTCATAGCATCGCTCATCGCTGTCGCGTGCATTTTCGCGTTTATAAGGTTTGGCCTTGAGGCCCAGCAACTAACGAAATCGTTGCGTTGAAAGCCAAAGGCACATCAGTCGTTTGTTCCGCGTCGTCGTAGCCGTATTAGCCAGTTGTATTGCATTGCATGCCAATAAAAATGGTGTAAAAGCATTTCCATGGAGGGAATGATGATGAGGGGGTGAAGCGGCCGTCAGTGCGTCCGTGCTGCTATATATATATATATATATATATATATATAATATATATATATATATAGAAGAAGATGTGCCTGCGGCGAGCAGCATCGCCAACGCCCGGCTCTCTCTGCTCGCTGCTGTGCTGATCTCTGCTGGACGGTTCTTCACGCTGTCTTGCCGTGATCGTTATCGACTAATAAACCTCGTCACATTTGGTGGAGAGTGCTGTTCATCCCCGTCGCTACACCCTGGAACTGCGAAGCCGCACGCTACCGCCCGTCATGACTGACAACGCCAACCCATCGGCATCGTCGCCCCCGTTCAACTGCCCTGGCCATCCTTTGCTACGGGACCC